CTGGATTAAATTCCAATGAGGTAATTGTTGCTCATTTTGACACTAGGAAGGGTATAAAGAGTAAAGTGAGATGTGCAAGTGGAGATGATGAGAAATGGCACAGAGTCCTTTTCTTTTGGGGGGGGACAGGTCTTAATAGTTTCTGGTCTTTCTGTTGAGTTCATGAGGAGAACAGATCTTAATTCTGTCTGGTGAAAAACTATAAATCATACTTCAGTTTTTATTCAGATAAGCCAAACCCAAGGAAGACAGGGCCATAAACCACTGTAGGTTTACATTTTTAAAAAGATTATTAGCAGAAAAGGGTGATTCGGCTTTTGAAATGTACAGTGTATATGCTCTTTCTTAAATCAAGAAATGTGCAGTGATGTCAGCAGTTAGGTAGAGGCCAGAATATAAGCTTGGGGGTGAGACCTGGGGTGTGTGTGAATCACTCTGGGAAGATTAGATATTCTGAGTCTGCATTTTCCTCTTTTGTTAAAGCAGAAGTGAGGATAAAAGAACACTTTTAAAGCACCGAGTGTACAAGATTACCAATCAATGATCATATCCTTTCTTTTCCTTTTGAATAGATGTGTTGGTTAGAAGAATTCACCAAAGCAGGGTGGGCAAAAGCAGTGAAGATGTGGAATGAGAACTTTTTATTTATTTATGTATTTATATTTTGAGACAGAGTCTCAAGCTGTCGCCCTGGGTAGAGTGCTGTGGCGTCACAGCTCACAGCAACCTCAAACTCTTGGGCTTAAGCAATTCTCTCGCCTTGGCCTCCCAAGTAGCTGGGACTACAGGCGCCCAGAGAACTTTCTTTTTTGTTTTTTTTTTTGTTTGTTTTTTTTACAGTTTTTGGTGGGGGGTCAGGTTTGAACCCCGGTATATGGGGCCGGCATCCTTCGAGCCACAGGCACCATCCATCACCCGGAGAACTTTTTAATGCAATTGTTTGTTTCTTAAAACCAGAGTTATTAGGACACTAGGTCAGTGACAAAGTTCTTAACACTGACATCCTCAGAATATTTGTAGTTTAAAGCCTGTAGCAGTAATCAATGAAATATAAGGATTACATTTATTTTTCATATTTATGAGAAGTAAAATAGAGGCATTTTAGTCATCTTTGTCAAGCTGCCTTTGGGTTCTTAAGTCATTTTCCTTCTTTGGACCTCTTGTTTAGTAATCTGTAAAATAAGAGAACTGGGCCAAATGTTCTCCTGGGTCTCTCCTAGCTGTAAAATTCTTAATTTAAGAAAACAAAATGTGTTAGGAAGGAGTTGGGATCATTGTTCCACATCCTTGAGCCATCCTAGTCAGTTAACATCCCAGTCCTACAGTTAACTGTCTGGTGTCATTTGGTTAGTAGTGAAGAGTGAAGGAATGAGAGGTTAAATCTTAAACAGTCAGGGATAACTGAGCGAGGAGGTGGTTTTGCTGTTATTGCATTCCCAGAGTAAGCATTCACTATGGACTGACTGGCTAAATGAATGGATAAATATTAAACTCTTAGATTATTGATGGATGCTGCAAAATGGATTTTCTTATTCACTCCATTATAAAACCTTTCAGACCACGAATTAAACGCAGCTTCTGGCAACAAAATTATTTTGATTGCATGCCATAAGCTGACAACTTCACCACAGATCTTCCTGTTTAGCTAAGTGTGGTGGTTTTAACTTTGGCTTTACCAAGTATTTTGTAATGTAGCATTCTATCAAATTAGGATGCATCACCTTTCAGAATGATGGATTTTTATTCCATTTTCTGAGTTTTATTAAATTTAAAGTCAACCCCCAAAGCCCAGTAACTAGTTCAAAGTTAGGACAGCAGGTCAATGACAGAGTAGGTTCTTAACTAACATTCTTAATAATGCAGAATGTTTCTAGTATAAAGCCTATAGCAGCAATCAATGAAATATAAGGATTAAATTTATAAGGAAGCAATCAAGTCTGCATAAAAGAAAAAAAATTTAGAGAATCCTTTATATCAGTTTCTAGGATCTCTGTTTCCTCATCTACAAAATAAGTAGATTAGTTAGATAATCTCTAAGTGTCCTTCTGGCTTTTTGATGTAATGATTTTATGAAATACTGCCAGATGTAAATGACAGGAGAAGGGAATTGTAGCCCAGCTTCAATGTTGTTCATCTTTAAATTGTGGCTGCTTTATGGGGTATCTGGAGGCAAGCATATGCTTATATCTCTGCAGAAAAGGAAAAATCTAAGCCATAGCCCCAGCCAGGGCTGTTAACCAAAAAGGATGTAGAGAGGTTATTTTGAAATTATTTATTGGAGTACTGTGGAGTTAACATGAGTATGAAGATTATACTTGAGGTGAAATATTTTTTAAAGTTGTTCCAAGGCCAGGCACAGTGGCTCATGCCTGTCATCCTCTGGCCTTAATTGACTCACCTATCTCGGAGTCATAAGCATGTATCATGGTTAATGTTTAAACCCGTGGGAATGGATAGGATTGCTTTTGAAAAGTATAGAATGGGAAAAGGGCCCAAGACTGACGGGACATCCTCCCCTCATCCTTAAAATCTCCAACATTTAGAGTTCTAGGAGAGAAGAAGAGAGATAACAGGATATCGGAAAAGGATCAGTCAGGACAATACTAGGAGAATACAGTATCACCAAAAATAAAGTGTTTCAAGAAGTTCTTTGCAAAATTTTCTATTTTATATCTCTGTTGCATCTCACAGCAATAAGATGTTGCAATAATTTTCACTAGGTCTGGAAAATGTCTGCCAGTGCTATTTAGTTAATAACACAGCCCAGTCCTGTTTCACTAACAGGGAAATACTAAGGGATAGGAATTTTTTTTTTTTTTTTTTTTTTT